CGTTGTAGATGTCTATGGGCTCCAGTAACCACTTAACACTAGGGGGCTGTGAGCTCGTCCATCCATCTAAGAAATAAAAAAATAAAAAAATTGTATTTGCGTTCAAATCAAATTTTTTTTTTTTTGATGAATACAATTATGTAGACTCGTGTTCGGAGTTGAATAATTAACTATTATTTCTGAAATTATATTATAATCTACAGATTTTCATGCTGGTAAATATTTATACACTAGGTAAGCTAGTAAGCTGATACCGTGCTACGAAAACAATAGATTTATTAGACTAGAAATTGCATTTAAATCATCTATGTAAGTGATAGTTGAAATCGATAAAACGATCTCTGAGATACAGGAGTTGTTTTTGAGACCTTAGAGCGATGCTCTATCCCTTTCCTGTGCAAAGTGTACGAAGCGAAGCTGAACAGTGACGTCATTATTAAAAGTGTGAGCTTAGAGCGAAGTTATGTTTATAAACTTATTCTAAATATTTATTTGAGCTATTTCTAAATAGATATTAATTTCAGCCGTGTTTCATCTTTACATGCTAGTCAGATATCCGTCGTTTTAACTTTAAAATGAATATTAAAAAAAATCTAATAATTAAAAAAAAAGATATTCCCGCTTAGTTTCTTGCCAGTTCTTCTCAGGACGGAGGCTAATTTTTTTGAATTAGCGGTAGTTCTTTTTGACGTTCAACAAGTATGTACTTTCATTTATGTTGAATTTTTTTTTTTTTTATTTGATTTAATTTGATTTGGAAATTCAAACCTACCGAAATAGAGTCATTTTCAACGCTTTGTTATTAAATCACTGCACTCACAGAATTTAATACAAACAATCACCACATAAATCTAAATGTAAATTCTGTAGCCGAAACACACCTTCCTAAATTAACATCGAGTTATACGGGTTACGAAATCTAGAAGGAAACCAGAGGGCGGCGAGACACGAGAATGTAATATGAACATACCAAGCATTCCTTATCAAGACGTCTGACGGTTAGATACGTATGAGGCGGCACAGGAATTTAGTAAAAACTTTATTTGAATCTGCTATTTCTACAGAGCTGTTGTTTGGTACATTGGAGGCGGATACATGGATAGGTACGACAATTTCTGCAAGCTCATACCTCAATTTGGGTGGCAGAATTTACGTTGTGGACGTCTATGGGCTTTAGTAACCACAACACCATATGTGCTGCTGTGTGACCGTCAAGAAATAAAAAAACAATCTTAAGCTGTCATGAAAGTAAATTTATCATAGGTTTGACATCATAATGCATCATCATTCTTCCTATCGCGAACCAGTCGATTTGATGACCATCAAAACCATTATATCTCGGTAATTTAGAATCTAATGATCTCCAACGCCCACTGAGTTTCTCGCTGGATCTTCTCAGTAGGTCGCGATTCCGATGCGTGCTTAAGCCCTGCTCTTGCTAGGGCTAGGGTTAGCAAATTCTCTCAGGAAAAAGAAAGCAAAAAAAAGATCTTAATGGTTCCGTTAAACACTTAGAACCAGATCAACTGTCAGTCGTCTAAATTGGTAAGGAATATGGTGCGCAGGCTGTATCAATAAATTAATTTGATTTTCGTATTTAACGAAGCGCATCATCATCATCATCATCATCAGCCTTTATCTGCCCACTGCTGCACATAGGCCTTCCCCAATGCCTTCCACAGAATGCGGTCCTCCGCCTTCCGCATCCAACGACTTTCCGCCGTGCGCACTAAGTCGTCGGTCCACCTGGTTGAAGGACCCCCCACGCTCCTGGTACCCATCCTTGCCTCCATTCGAGGATTTTATTCCCCCACCTAGCGTCGTTAGTTCGACAGCGCGGTAGTTGTTAATTATGTTGTAAAGAAGGATAGGTAGTACTCTTGAGCGATATTACAAGCTTTCAATGTTTTATCTACCAGATGACCCAATTATCTCTCCCTATGTGATAATCGCACCACCAGCTACCGAAACAGAGTTCATCAGTACTTCCTAGTTCCACAGTGCTTATTATCAAAACAATTGAAGAGATACTTTTTGCCACATACCATCACCACCATTCAATTCTGGCATGAAAATTCCTCAATAATATTTCGCGCTTAAAGTCCTCAGTAGCTGCATTGTGGCTCCGGTATTGATAGCCATGATCTGTCATCAACATTATCGGACCTTCGGCTCTCTTGGAAGGTAAAGCTCCAGAAGCACTGGCTTAAATTCTTGTACCGGGTCACACCGACTCATTAGAGGTCTCATTAACTTATCTACTGACCATTTAGGTCTGAACGTTCCAATTTACGTTCGAGCTAGGATTATCTTGAGCTTCGAACCGTAAGTGACGGTGGAAGTCATTACGGAAGATTCTTGGTGGATTTGCGTGTTGAGATGTAGTCGAGGCGAAGTTTTAATGTCGCCTTTCAGCTTCTATCAAAACATTGTTGGTGCAACGGTAAATGAATAAAAAAGATGTTCGGTATCGTGGGACACCGGATAGTAACTAAGTTCCTTATTATAAAAATATTAATTTTATGTTCTATTCGAGGTATAAAGAAAATAATTATTCAGGTATACATTTTTTATCATATTTTTTTTATTAATAAAAAAAAAAAAATTACAAAGTTATCAACTTTATTTTATTCACAATGATTTATAAAAAATATATTATAATAAAAAATATGTGATTTTTTGTACGTTATTAAAGACAAAGCTAAGTCGTACACTGTGTGCATTACTAATAAAAATCTTACGTTACGGACGTTTTTTCCCGGTTTGGGTGCCCCTCCGCATCATCCCATAAGGAACTCCGTTCCAAAAAGTCTTTTTCGATTGAGATACTGGGAATGTGTAGCTATTTATGAACTGTGGGAAGTAATCACTATTGCGTCCTTAAGTTAAGTCGCACTTCGAATATTCAACAAGTTCAACACTGTTACTATAATGCCTAAAAGCACAGAGAGTGGATCGTAAGGGTCCAAGAGAACATATCTGGGGCGACGGCGAATGTTCGCTGTCTCGTCTGGGTCGGATATTTAAAAGCTAAGTCTATTTCGCTCAAACAACAACGAATTGACTCACCAATGACCCGTGTATCCTAAGCGGATAAAATAACATCCCAAATTAGACAAAGCCGGCTTCCAAACCAATTACCCATTCGGGCATAGTTAAATTTTAATGTACCCTAATTCGATAAAATTAAGCTGCCGGCATGTCAGCACACAACAATTGCTTCAAACAAAATGGGCCAGAATTTCCGATTAAATTCATCGTTGAACAATAATTGACCGGTCAACATGAGGACGTCGGGCCACGGGACACGCGTTTAAAACATGTCTCAACACACTCACCCTTGATCCCAATTACGCATTACATCGATATACAGATTTGGCCCAAATTAAGCCTGCGAGGGACAAGCGCGGGCGATTAACAAAATTTGATGGGGCATTTTGATGACCAACTGCGGAAGAGATGGCGCTGGACGGAAAACGAAAGCTGTGAATGCGGATGCCTAGAGCAAACTGTACGCCACATTGTCATGGAATGCCCACTAACGAGATTCGCAGGCCAAGTGGAAGATCTCAAAAATGTAACAAAAGAAGCTATCGATTTTTTCATAAATTGTAAATTATATTAATATTAATTATAACAACGCAGTGTAATCGAATGCCATACGATAAATAAATAAACCTACTTAATCGCGTGTAACCTAAGGGGCTATTCCAGTTATGCTTGGACAAATAGTTGAAACCATATTCCAGCTACGCTTGGACGAATAGGTAAGGCCATGGGCCCAATCTCAGAGTTTACCAGGACTGGCCCTAGCAAGAGCAGTGCTTCGCTGAATCTAGCACTGGTTCGAAATCGCGACCCATTGAGAAGATCAGGCGAGAAACTTAGTGACTGGTGTCTATGGGTTGGCTTGCACGCCGAACTCTTCGTTATATTCGGCAAGTTCGATAAAAACGGGGACATCTACTAATGCTAACTCACGGTATGCTCAACTAAAACTACTGTTTTGGTAATCACTCAAAATTCAGATATGCCGTGGATTCTGTGGTTTTGAAACGATTTTGTTTTTTAAGTATAAATGAAGTTTCGATTTATTACATGACGTTATTTCCTTCATTCATCGTGAACTCGTTCGTGAATACTTTAAGTGCGTATTTCCTAATTAATAAGTGCGTAATTCGAAGCGTTCCTGCGGGTTTGAAATCGTCCCATAAATTGATATTATTGTTGACGAAGATGTCGAAGAAAGACCGAAATGGAGGAGTAAAGTAAGCTGACGCCATCACTAGGTGGGATAAATAGCAAGGAAAAGAGAGAGAGAGAGAGAGAGAGAGAGGGAGAGGGAGATAGAGAGAAAGAGAGAGAGGGAGGGAGGGAGAGAGAGAGAGAGAGAGAAAGAGGGGGAGGGAGAGAAAGAGAGAGAGAGAGAGAGAGAGAGAATTCCATAAATTGATATAAGACTAAGAAGTAATATAAGAGTAAGTGTGATATAAGAGTAAGAAGTAAAAGAAAAGCTTTTTTTCTCTTGGACAACAAAGTAATTTAGTAGATTCCTAATTTTTTTTCTATTTCCTTTGTCTTGTACCACACTCTATCCAGGAACCCCTGACCAACGATTAATATTCATAGAGTAATTAATTTGAGTCGACCGCAGGACGCGGCTGGCTTATATTTATTTTGAACGATCAAACTCGATCGTTGAGGGCGGTAGATGATTGTCTATTGGACAATTATAAGGTGAACGGGAATCGCTTGAATAAACTACTTCAAGGAATATACTACTATAACTAATATTAATAATATGCGTTTTTTAGGAACAAAGTTCCTTAGGGGACGATGCGGAGGGGTACTCTAACCGGGAAAAACGTCCGTAACGTAAGATTGTTTCTATTTAGTTTGCTATCAACAGATGTCACTGCACGTAAATTCAAGAATTCCTGAATCGCGGTGACGAGAAGTTACACAGTTGATAGACGTTCCCGTATTTCTGTTACTAAATCATACTTACCTGACGTAGGGGATACCGTGATCATGAAGGCGGTTTCCCCAGGGCGAGGCTGCTCCATTGCACTGCGGAGTGGTTGACCCTCGCGATTATTTTTATTTTATCAATAAAAAAATCATAATAAAAAAATGTATACCCGAATAATTATTTTCTTTATACCTCGAATAGAACTTAAAATTAATATTTTTATAATTAGTTACTATCCGGTGTCCCACGACACCACACATCTTTTTTTCCTACTTTCGTGAGGTCAGTCTAAAATGGAAGAAATTTTAATTTCATAAGGTCTCTCCGCCGTTGTAGTATGTATTATAAGTGAACCTCAGAAATCATATTTCAATGTTGGTGGTGGCATTTACGTAGCTGATGTCTACGGGTTTTGGCAACCACTTGCCTTTAGGTGGGCCAGGAGCTAATCCACACTTCATCATCATCATCATCAGCCTATAGCAGTCAAATGTTGGACATAGGCCTTTCCAATTGCTTGCCATTGAGCACGATCCTCGGCTTCTCTCATCCATCTCCTGCCAGCCGCCAAGCACAGATCATCACTCCACCGAGCCTGAGAGCGTCCTGCACTGCGCTTTCCAATTCGCGGTCTCCACTCAAGAACGCGTTTATCCCAACGGTTATGGTTGTCCAGATAATACGGCCAGCCCATTGCCACTTCAACTTATTAAATCACTGTGCTATGTCCCTAACTTTGGTTCTCTGTCGAATCACCTCATCCACACGTGTAAACAATAAAAAAGGACTAATCTTTTTAGTTGTAGTTTCAAAACAGACAATATTTCCAAAGCACCAAAGTTAAATGGGTTCGGAATGTTATCGAAGCGAACAGGAATCCAATACGACTTTTAATCACGTACGCAATTTTGTGGCTTCCTGCCACAGGCTTCCTGTGGGTGTTTCCATGTTTCCATGGGAAATTGAGCTCGGAGGAGGATTTCCCTAATTGTATACGGGAAAACCACCGAGAAAGGATATGCATGAGTTATTGCGAATTTCGTATTTCTGTTTTTGCCGACTTCTCATGCGGATGTCTTTCTTCATTTAAATTATGGCAGACTTATTGAGCATCTTGCTGGTGGAAATGTGAAATATGAAATACATTTTAAACAAGAACGATTGTATTTCTTACTTGCCTAGGCCCTGCTATAAACAAATATTACTCATTTAAAATTATTGTTTTTACTATTTTCATAACTCCGGCTTCGCTTACATTCAAATCAGTTGGATTTTGATAAAACTTAAAGTAGATTAATTTACGTTAAATTATGGAGAAAGCCTTAAGGCTGTGATGAGTTCATGTCGGAGCACTTGGAGCTTGGTCCATCTGGGAAAAGCAGCTGCGTGCGTTGTCAAAGATCGTAGCTGCCGTGGTCAACAGTAACGAGTCAATATCTCGCAAAAGGATATGGCGGAACGTAAGAGAGGGAGCCCTTCTCTGTCCTTTCTGATCCGTCAATGTCAAGCCAGGGAAAGAGCAGGGTCTATGTCATAATACAGCCTCTGCAGCAAGGTGTGTCTCGGTTTGGAGCTACCGAAGACCATGCGGCGCGCTAAAAGCCCTCCGTGCTGATTGTGTAATGCGTTCAATATCGGCAGGCTACTTTTGTTATCTCGAAAGACCACCGATTAGTGACGTTGGCGAGGCGTGCGGAGAGTACAAGGAAGTCGTTTTGTGGACGGAAGTAAATTGCTTCGGCAGCCTCATCGGCACGGGAATCGTGCAATAAATTCGATCCTCCGTCCAAAAAATATAAAGAGACAAACCAAGAAAAAGCATACACATAATTGAATCCCGCAGACGGGTACAAATTTTTATAATTGATCAAGGAAAAATAAAAAGGTAACAATTTTTCTGAAGAAATACTAAAAAAAATTTAATTTGCGTACATCACTGGTAGAAGGGTATTTTGTACTACCACCCGTTTTTTTTGGCCGATGGCCGAACTTCCTACGAGGTTCCTATGCCCAGGAGGCGCGCGGGGTATGTGGGATTGGACAGTCCGTAAGTGTTGAGAGCGGCCCGCGAGTCGCCCAGGCGGTGCCGCTAGTGTCTCGGAATACCCCGCTGGGCTGGAACTAGCCTGCCAGATCGGGACGCGATATACCGACAACCGGTCGCTCTTATTACTGGTGGTAGGACCTCTTGTGAGTTCGCGCGGGCAGGTACCATCACCCTGCCTGTTTCTGCCGTGAAGCAGTAATGGGTTTCGGTTTGAAGGGCGGGGTAGCCGTTGTAACTATACTGAGACCTTAGAACTGATATCTCAAGGGGGATGGTGCATTTACGTTGTAGATGTTTATGGGCTCCAGTAACCATTTAATACCAGGTAGGCTGTGAGCTCGTCCACCTATTAAAGCAATAAAAAAAATTTCTTACGACTTTTACTCAGGTCGCCCCGTGAAAGATTCCATCACCCAGCCTGTTTTCGTGCGCAGGTTCGTCGGTTTGAAGGTTTGGACAACCGCTATACTAGATAATTGAGAGTTAGACCTCATGTCTCAAGATTGGCGGCATCACGTATTAGGAAGCTTATGCGCTCCGATAACCATCAAACTTGAGGAGGACCACAACCTCGTTCGAGGAACTATGCAATAAAATAAAATTAAATATTTTCAAATTAACCTTTATTTCTTGCTTCACTGCTGTACAGTACCGACCAAACTATAACTTTAGTGTTAATAAGGCATCGGTGACGAAGGGTTGTCGTGTGAGAAGTTTGTGCCCTCCGTCACTGCGCGCCTGTCAGCTAGTTCACTTTGTTACTGCTTTTGACAGAAAACAAAACAACGGCTCAATTGTTAAAGCCGAGTTTTCAATAACTCAAACATTTCAATAAGTAATATGCGTTCGAAAAATAAAGGTAGTAGAGGAAGTAAGTACATGCTGATGCCACAGGCTATGATTTTCCTCTATGTATGCCGGAAATATTTACGGAAAGAACATATTAGCGATTCCGAACACCAAATATCGCGTGATAATATTTGTTTATATATCTTTATATATATATATTGTTACCGAATCCTGGCAACCCCCGACCGAGAGCCAGCGCTAAAACTATAAAAACGATCCCTCGCTGCGCCTTTGCCTCTCTTTTTGTGCGTGGCGTTCGTGTGCGGTTCTTGTTGAAACATGTTTGGGACTTGTGTAATTTTAACAGTTTTCGTTAATAGTAAATTGAAATCATTTTGTTAGAAGTTTTGTTAATTCAGTGAAATGTAATTAGGCCAGTTCTGTGTTATTTATTTCTTTTTGTTAACTACCTCACTTCTGGTCGATAATAATATATATATATATATATATAGTTATGATATATATATGTATATCTATAAATATTATGTATGTTATATATACACATATGTTTAAGTAATATCACCTTCACACTACACCTACCAAGCTTCATCTCTGCACTCCCATAAGGTAGACTGTTAGAGAACGCCTATGCCATTAAGTCCGCCTTTATACTTTCTAGTATAAGAAGTTATAAATAAATAAATAAAATATCTTTCATTTTATGACTTTCTTGACATTTTGACTTGACACTGTCTATTTTGAGTTCGCGCGGATAGATACCAAACATCCTGCCAATTTCTGGCGCGACGTAGTTATACATTTGGATTGTAAAGGTAGTACAGTGATTGTATAATATAAATAAAACTTCAATCTAAACGAAGTCGTCGTGGCCTAAAGGATAAGACGTCCGGTGCATTTGTATGTAGCGATGCACCGGTGTTCGAATCCCGCCGGCGGGTACCAATTTTTCTAATGAAATACGTACTCAACAAATGTTCACGATTGACTTCCGTGGTGAAGGACAATAACATCGTGTAATAAAAATCAAACCCGCAAAAATATAATTTGCGTAATTACTGGTGGTACGACCTGTTGTGAATCCGCACGGGTAGGTACCACCGCCCTGCCTATTTCTGCCGTTAAGCAGTAATGCCTTTCGGTTTCAAGGGCGGGACAGACGTTGTAACTATACTGAGACCTTAGAACTTATATCTCAAGGTGGGTGGCGCATTTACATTGTAGATGTCTATAGGTTCCAGTGACCATTTAACACCAGGTGGGCTGTGAGCTCGTCCACCCATCAAAGCAATAAAATAAAAAAATAATGACATTTATCCACCAGTAATCAACGCAAGTCACATATTGTTACATATAAAATTAACAATCGGAATCAAATATAAATTTAACGCTCTATGAATTGAATTCGAATTAAAGGTTTTATCTCCAACACACAGTAGCGTGCCACGCCGGCCAGTTACACACTATCGGTCCGCTACGGCTCTTTGTTGTTATGTAAATACGGCTTTATATTAAATTTTCGATTCATAGCTTTACCGTTCGTGAATTTATAGCACATTTAAGTGATTTAAATTCGCTGCGATTGAGTTAACGCATCATGGAAGTTCCTTGTTTACTGTGAGAGCTTTTTATTTTTTATTGCTTAGATGGATGGACGAGCTCACAGCCCATCTGGTGTTCAGTGATTACTGGAGCCAATAGACATCTACAACGTAAATGCGCCACCCACCTTGAGATATAAGTTCTAAGGTCTCAAGTATAGTTACAACGGCTGCCCCACCCTTCAAACCGAAACGCATTACTGCTTCACGGCAGAAACAGGCATGTTGATGGTACCTACCCGCGCGGACTCACAAGAGGTAATTACGCAAATTATAATTTTGCGGGTTTCATTTTTATTACACGATGTTGTTCCTTCACCGTGGAAGTCAATCGTGAACAATTATTGAGTACGAGTTTCATTACGAAAATTGGTACCCGCCTGAGATTCGAACACCGGTCTTATCGTCTTATCCTTTAGGCCACGACGACTTATTATTTCTATAAATTAATACGCGAAGGAATAACTTTGTATCCCTTTTTACGAAAATTGCGCGGACGGAGGAGTATGAAATTTCCCACATTTATAGAGAATATAGAGAAGGAGTGCACAATGCTAATATTTTCTTAAATTATTGCTAAAAATACATTAAATCAATAAAAAAAAGACATTACACCCACTACCATGTATTTGACGCACACACTCATGCATACTATTTATTTATTGTCAGACTTTTGTTCTTAACGTCTGTTGTCAAATTGAGAAATCATTAAATATTGTTTGTCTTTATTAATATTT